AGATTTCGTGGCAGGCACAGCACTTTGTGAACCTCCATGTGCAGATTTCGTGGCAGGCACAGCACTTTGTGAACCTCCATGTGCAGATTTCGTGGCAGGCACAGCACTTTGTGAACCTCCATGTGCAGATTTCGTGGCAGGTGCAGCACTTTGTGAACCTCCATGTGCAGATTTCGTGGCAGGTGCAGCACTTTGTGAACCTCCATGCGCAGATTTCGTGGCAGGCACAGCATCTGGGGAGCTGGAAGCTGAGAACTGGCGGCTCTTGTAGTACAACTTTAGTACGCGGAGCAAGTTGTGAGCTGGAAGCTGAGAACTGGCGACATTGTAGTACAACTTTAGTACGCGGAGTATCTGGCAAGCTGGACGATGAGAACTGGCGACTTTGTAGTACAACTTCAGTACGCGGAGCAATCTGTGCAGCTAGAAGCTGAGAACTGGCGACTTCGTAGTACAACTTTAGTACACGGAGTATCTGGCGAGCTGGAAAAACTGCTATGCAAGTCTTGCACTCACGGCCGCCAGCCCGTGTACTCGGAGGCACCGGTACGGTCCGATGACGGGTGCCTGGAATTTAGCGGAGTGAATCTGGAGACTGGCTTTCACAGACTGGATCCTCCAGTTCGCATCAAAGTTGAGGAGATGCCATTCCGAACTGATGGAACCTACGACACCGACACTCTGCTGCGTCATCTCGGACGTCACCCCGACGATGTTACTGGAAATGTATAGCTGATGTGACAGAGAAATGTTACGAAATGTTACACGAAAGCACGCGCGCCGATGTGGGCCGCGTGAGCAGTCTCCCAGACAAAAAGCAGAGGCGCGTGGGTTGTGGATACTCTTGGCCGCAGGTGTTCGAAAGTAGGGTGCGCTAGTGCGAACAGTTTCCCAGTAACTCATGGCTTTTGTTGCTGATGCGGAGATCGTCTCTCGATTCTTTCTCTAAGTGAGACGTAGGGATGTACAAGGACTCCACACGTGGGTCCCACTCGTCATACACCACTCATCATTCACCACTCGTCATACACCCCTCATCATACAAGACTCATCATACATCACTCATCATACACCACTCATCATAACCCAACACTGGTTGCAGTTGATTGTTTTGTTAGCAGGTCGGTTTGTACTTAAGGTTGAAGTTTTGGGCGCAGTTCATACTGACAGTCTTTGGTTGCATTTATGCGTGGCAGGTTTTACATGCCAATTCGGATTCCATGCACTTTGATATGTGGTATGAAAGGCCGCCACTGAAGAATGCCACGGTGGGATGTGTGTCGATGTGGACCGCATCCTTGGCAAGTCGTGGTGGCCGGATGTGTGTCATCTCTCGCAGGGGGCACACACACCTTACACACGTGGAATCCCGTGGGTCAAAAGTCCGGAGCGCGTGCGTTTGACTGGAGGACGCGCATGTTGGAGAGAACGTGGACACTCCTATAGGTCAATTTCTTCTTATAGGAAACTTCCGCCGCCGGCTTGCCCGGGAACTACTTGTAGAAGCAAACTGTACGCAGGTTAAAATTCATGGCATAGACTCGTGCCTTTGCATGGCCGAAATTTCTCTAAGGGGTCGGCTCCAAGCCATTCCAACACCGCCACTCTTGGCTCGTCCTGCCAACAGTTTTCCCATCCAAGGGTCTGAGTTCTGAATGAAGTCAAGTCCATTCTGAAGTCTGAGCTGCTTGCCCCTGCCCGAAGCAGGATGTCTACGAATTCTGCTGCCTGAAACTTCATGCTCTAAGCACACTTGTTTTGTCACGTTCAAAGCACGCGTTTTTGCTTTCAAACTTTGATGAATGGGACCTGGTCCTGAGAACTTGCGAGCTTTGTTTGCAAACCTGCAGACACGACATGATATCCAAGCGACATCCAAGCCATTCGGTACTCTTCGAGAGAACACAAAACGGACACCGGCAGCCATCCGAACGGACACCGCAAGCACTGGGACCCTGCCTTTCTGTAGCCCTTCAACTCGGCCACGTGTGGCTCGTGTGAGATGGTCCCACTCCTTGGAGCCGGCCTGATACGTCTACAGTAGAGATACGTTCGACATACGCATAGCTTGCTGACGGATGATGGGAAGGCATCATCTGAATTGGCAATTCTTTCTGATGAAATCGGAGGTCATCTGATCATCTCAGGATTCAGTAGTTTGTTGGGAACAATGTTCGCTACTAGTGCTCCTGGCATCGCTACTAGGAGCAAAGACGCTACTAGGGGCTCCTGGCCTTAATACTAGGAACAAGAAGCTACTGTGTCCAATATATTCTGTAGTTCATCATCCACAGCACCCGCCTCTGTGAGGTGTGCCTTTGAGGGTGGCACCAAAGCACTGTCCAGCGCAGACGGCGATAGTGCCCATCCCAACAGAGAGCTCTCCTGCAAGGAACGTGTTGGCAGGAACGCATCCTTCTTTAAGCCGTTGTTGTGCATAAATTGACAAAAGATGTTCGAGTACAAGCAGGTGATGAAACATTCACCCGCACAAGCAGGCGATGACCGCGCTGAGAAGCTCTGACGATCGCCATGTTATATAGAGAGGTCGTTTGCAATGTTGGTGATTTTGTGAAGCATGTCTTCTTGCTCTCAGTACGAGACACTCACAATGGAACCAAACGTAACAAGGAAGGAAAATGGACATTTCCAGATCATGAGAACCAGGCTTTGCGCCTTTTCGAGTTCAAGCACATTATATAAATGTGCTTCACATTCTCCCAATCAGCCAACTCAGCTTGCAGGTGACACCATGAGCAAATGCGTATGCTGATCGGCAGATGCATCTGTGCCAATATATCTAGTCCACAGTCAGCTTTACGACATCTGTCAAGTCACATTGTATCCGCAAAGCACGCTTTTCGTTAAAGTACTCTCCTGCAAGAAGAGGCCCTCGTTCTGTTGTGCTATGACATTCTTCTTCTTGTCTCTCCAAACCTGAGTGTTGAAAGAGCTACTTCAAGCATTGAACAGGACACGGCAAGGCGCCCACAAACTTTGCCTCGAAAGGTGGCTTCCACAATTCCTGCGAACATTGAGTCAAGCCCCGCTGGTGCAACTCAACATAGACTGCCTGCCTCCTTCAGAGGAGAGGACACCAATGCATTTACATATTTGCTATCTTTCTTGTCTGGTCTTTTTGCCCGCAGCCTCAAGCCCAAATCAAGGTCGAAATGAATTCTGAAATGCCTAGCCTCAGCCTAGGGCCCAAACACATGGATCAATTGGCTGAACTGCTGGTTTCGAAGGTCATTCAGAGTCCTTGAAAACATCATGACGCGACATCTCAATATGGAAGATGCTTGAGCAAATATGGTCTTCTTTCAATAACCCAAGCTGTACCAGCTGTTCCTGCAAACTTGGGATCCCCACCGGCCCTTCAATTGCACTGCTAGTCTGGAGACCAGCACTGCAGGAACTGCATCATCCTCTAGCAAAGCAACCCTTCTTTGTCTCTGCCACATGATGGCCAGTTAAGAGTATGCAATAGTTTGGCCAATGCTCCTTGAGCTGGCACCTACACCAAATCCTGCTCTTTGGGGACCATAGATCTTACAATCAGCCATGATGATGTCCTCAGCAGCTGCGAGCAAGAGCTCATTCATGAGCCTGGCTGTAGTGCGGCCAAGCAAGAACCCACTTGCTTTCAAAAGGAAACTCGTCTGAGTCTTGGATGAAGCCTTATTGGCACACGATTGTTCAGAAGCCCAAGGATGAGTGTGACCTCACAAATTGAAGGAGCTGTGGTGAGATCTACTGATGTCAAGCTGGAAGGTCGAAAGTGAATTCATTTGACTTATCCTGCCTTCTGGTCAGAGGAGGCACCCAGCAAAAGCGCGAGTGAGGCTGTTTGAACCGCCTTCCAGGAAAGGCGTGATTTATATAGTGAGGCAGCCCGCAACTAGTAGCAAGAAGCTACTAGGGGCTCCTGGCCTTACTACTAGGAGCAAGAACGCTACTAGGGGCTCCTGGCATCGCTACTAGTAGCAAGAAGCTACTGCATTTGCAGCAAATCTGCCCGCACTGAAGGTGCCACGGCGCTTGCATCAACATTTCTGAGCAAGTTGGCTTGGGGGTGGTGAGCATGTTTGCTCTAGAATCCTATCTTTCTTCGACCTTCCGGAAAGGGAAAATCAGCGTTTAACTCGATATGTGGCTGGTTAAACATGCTTAGTTCATGATACCAGTAAAAGAAAATGTGGGACATGTCATTGCATTTCTGATAGTTTGTTGGCTGCATGGGTGTATTTGTGGATGCACTGGATGGATGTGGATGTCCTTTCATTATAAGGTGGATCGGTTGGCCTTTAGCAGTTCCACCACACATCTCCAACGACTGCGGGCGGTCTCGGTCGCACATCCAAGTCTGGGTGGAGGATCGAGCTGGGGCGTTTGAGCCTTGCTGGCGAATCAAGGCCCAAAGCCCAAAGCAAGAAAGTAAGCCTGATCCCGCGGAAGCTTTATGGTTGCATTGTAGTGGTTGACAATTATGTGGTTTCTTGTGATGGCTCAAGTATCAATCAGTTTTGGTTTGCTGTGAAACGTGGCAGTTTGTTCTGATAGGTTGTAGTGTCATCTATATTATATTAGGTCATCCAGCCGGACTGAGATTGTGTGTTTTTGGTTGCTTGTAGTGAGGTGATGGGTGGTCATCTAAGTTGATCTGTGCATGCTTGCCTGGTTTGCCATGAGTCCAATTGCATCAGTGCCGTGATGATGTGGCCGACTGGCAGTGATCCCTGCAGAATCTCTTGAATTGTTGATCTAACCTGGTTGCCGTGTTTTAGTATTTGTACCTCTGGTGTCCTGTGTCTTGGGTTTTGTCACGTAAGTCGCGGGATTTGAGCCTGACATCAGGTTCATCGGTCCTCGAGCTCCACTAGCTGTGGTGATTCCAGGTAAAGCGATTCTAGTGATCGCCACAAAAACCAGCTTCGGCAGCCTCTTGCAGTGGCGCAATGCCATCCCAGGTGGAAGGAACCACTCCTCCTTCCTTCGCTGAAGGAACCCCTCTGATTGAAGCATAGACTTGTGGCGCTCCTCAGATCTCCTCCATCCCCTCAGACATGTGCCCCAACCAAGCAAACTTGTCCAATGGATCCGAAATTATATTATTCAAATGTTCTAAGTTCAACACTGGGCAAGGAACATCACTGCTTCTTCCAAACCTCTCTGTTGAGCGATTCTAGAGGCCTGCGCAGCTATGTCTCTGGACACGCAAGTTTTCAGATCTTGTGATGACTCGCCTCGTTATCCAGAAACTCACCAACCTTTGTTTCAGTTTACGTGTCACATGTCATATAACTTAACCCGTAAATTTGGATCTGAAGGCTAGTGAGGGTCAGGCATTGGACACGCTAAGCTTTTGTGCAGGCTGCTGCGTCAGCTGCAACACCTTGACTCACATCAACTGCAGCAAAGGCACGTACTGCTTGCAGAAAGCGAAAAAAATAATAAAGGAAAGGCAAATGAAAATCAGGTACACCAGCCTTACCCCAATAGCATGTCGTGCTACTTGCCTTACCCCAATAGCATGTCGTGCTACTTGGCTACTTGGTTTCTTAGGGGCACGTCCCATGAAAAACGTCCAACCACTGTGAAAAGTTGCACTTGTCATAGACTGGCATAGACGGAGAGAGGCACCAAGACATTGCGACATCCAGCCATGGGTAGACAAAAACAATGAAACGCAAAGACCAGAAGTGACTGGGATAGAAGGAAACCAGTCGAGAGGTCACAGGGGCAAACTTGGGAAGTTTATAAGCATAATAAAGATTCTCTCAAGCTTTGACCTTGACGAGCATCACGTGCTCTTTGTCCGCCGAGATGGCAGGAGCTGCGGCTCCATCCATCTGCGTAAGTTGAGCTGAAGAAAAAGGGATGTCTCTCGAGCATGACAAGTAGAACTTGCCTCCTTAGGTCTCTTCACCTGACTTTCTCGCCTTGGCACTCACATTCCAAGCTGAGCAATCAAAACGAACCAAAACACCAATACAAGCCAATACACCAATGCTTGGGCCGATGCTCTTGAGATGGGCCTCGCTTCATGCACCGCCTTAGTCTTCAAGTGCTGAGGAGACTTTGTGCACACAGTGGCCACCCTTCAATTGCATCAAAGCCACACGAAGCGGAAGGCCACAAGGGAAAGTGGCACTCTGAGCCGCAATTCCGCAGGTAGGACCACTCTATAACAAGACAACAAGGTGGCCCAATTCCTTCATTTAGCAACACCTTCACTTAATTGCTTATCCTTGAAGCGCACAATCATGTCTGGCAAGCAAATGCCGCTCTGCTGTAGATAACACTCTGGGACTATATATAACACCTCCCAAGGCCTCCATTTGAAGCAGTTGCCACAAAGCACCAGCCCACAACTGCGGCAATGGTAGCGACCTAGGTGGGTCTTCTAAGGTGCCCAACTTGCTTCCTAGGTGTCACAACTGAGCAACTGAGCTAACAACGAACTGAACCAGAGAAAAGAACCTCCAGATGTTATACTTGTCACCAACGAGTGGCGTGATGATGTAAAAATATGTAAGGCAGCAAAGGGTAATTCAGTGCGCGCATTGCCGACTTTCAGTGGAGGCCCAAAGTTCCGACTGTGTTTGCTGTTCCAAAAGGTGGCAACACTCAGAAGAGCACTGGAAGCGGGAATGTGATTTTGCATGTGAACTGCAGGCTTGCGGCCACTTTTTACTCTGAAGGATTTCGTTTTGATGGTCAGGACGAACACACGACCATCCACTCGGTTTGCAGCAGAGTTTGTCCTGCTTTCCAATATAAGGCCAAAGAGACAGGTACACAGGCAATTCCGGGGACCCTCAACCAAGGATGGCCAAAGAGGAGGGCAAAGTAATTCCACCTTGCTTCTTTTAGCCCGGATCTTGGTGGTGCGGGCCGTACAACAGGGTCGTGGAAAATCCTTTACGACTGGGGAGCTTCTGTGTATGTTCTCAGCGCGACTGACATACCGTCCCCGAGTCTCGACTACACGGCACGAATGGTTTACGACACATTGGCGTCCTTGCTCCTAGTAGCGATGCCAGGAGCCCCTAGTAGCGTCCTTACTACGGTGTCTTTTCTATGCTTGTAACATCTTGAACTCTCCAGCCTTGCAGTTGTGACATCGTGGGGCCAGGTGATCCGGCACAAAGAAAGGAGGACGTGTGGCCTGGGCGATCAGTGTCACCGAAGCGGTGAAATCTGCATCTCTCAAGTCCCTCAACCCATTGAACTTGTGACATCCAGGAGAAAAAGGAGAATCCAAGAAAATCTAGAAAGCTAGGACTTCAGCTGGAATGGTCCGGCTGTTGAAAAAGGCATGTTCCCGTTGCAGAGTATCCCGGTCCTGGCACGAATGACTGTGAAATTGAATGACCAAATCAAGATCAGCCAAATCAAGCAAGGTGCCTCAGCAGTCAGCTGCACGGTGGTCTCCTTGCAAACGATGGAAAAAGCTTTTGAAACTTTGTATGTAAATATATATATATTTATAAAATTATATATATACTGTATGTATGTATGTATATGTAGCTGTGTGAGGGATTATCAACGCTGGTGGTTCTCCAGCCAGCTTCAGAAATCTCTCCTGAAATCGGAAGCCGTTGCTTACCACCAAGCACGACATCCACCGCTTGGCGGCCAAGTCCTCATAACATTAGATTCTCCGAGCAAGCTCTGACTTTGCGTGGCTTTTCTGAAACGACTCGCCCAGCAAAACAACAGCATGGACCATCAGGCTCCATCTTGAGGGTCTACTGTCTCATGGTCCTTCTTTGATGTGTCCACTGCCTTCAAAACGTCAAACTGGTGCTGGTTCCTTACGCAGAAGAATCACAAGCGCATGTCCAAACCAGAAGCATTAATTTTGGCATGTGGGCTTGGCAAAAAGCATCAGCATGGCATGTCTTTCGCTTGGGGCCTGACCGGAAAGACAGATTGGCTTTGCCATTTACTAGCAGGGATGTGGCTCGAGCATCAAGCCTCAGAAAAACTCTCAACAACAAGCAAACTCGACTTTCAGCGCAGAAAAGAGCACGCCTGGAACACGCTTCCAGGATAGGAGGCCACTCAAACTTGTCTACCTGAAGTCAACTAAGACTACAAAACTGAAGCTGCAAAGACCATAACACAGACCTACAGGAGCTGGAAAGAGCCTGGTTGACATCGGTGTCTCCATGCTGCAGCAGTTGTAGAATGATGCTGTAATGAGCCTGACCAGAGACAGCGAGTCCTGTGAGAAGTTCAATGCCGATACCGCAATAAGGCAAAGCCTCACACAAGGCTAGGCTAGAATTTAGAAGCACCTTCGAAACTGCAAAGTGAAGCGGAGTCCAGCCAGTCGTCTCCTGTCTGTGAATATGCAAGCTTTTTGTTGGGGTAGCTGTGATACAGCCCCAGCTCTGACGAACCCAGCGACATGCTTTGTGGCTACCCCTGACACCGTGTCATCCAATTGTCTTAGGTGAATCGACATGAATGGCAAGTGCAAAGCAAGTAGAATCACTCAGTGATGTGATGGTTACAATTTCCTCTTGCACGTTTGGTTGCGCTCGATTGTCCAGCAAGACCTGCACAAGGCCTGAGCTTGAAGGCTCGATGCGAAGGCGACCAAGACGGTGTTTCAAATTTGAGGACGAAGTGTGTCATCACTTTGACATCTCTTGAGATCTCTGAGGTTAAAGCCTAGATCTCCACTTTGTGATGCAAGGTGCAAGCATGTTTGCCCTCTTAGATCCCTTGCCTGGCAGGTCACCATGAATCTTTCTCCTTGTAAGCGCTGTAAGCGAAGCAGGACAAGGAGAAGAAACCCCAAAAGCTAGACATAAGGCATTTGAAAGTCAGCTCCAAACCACGCAGCTTCCTTTTTGCTTGATGGGGATCAAAATGATTCCTGCATAGATTAAAATTTGAGCTTCACGACGAGCGAGTCTGCATCATAGGCAGTTCTTGCAGCAGCGCAACAGGACTGGAAAGTGGACGTCGCGCTGCAATAAAGATAGCACGCCTCGCTCCTGACTGGAAAGAGGCCCAGTCAGTCTCAAACTGATCATGGTTTGGCTGGGTGCTTGGAACGTACACGTAAGGAAACAGGCCTTTTAGAGCCTCAAATATATCCTGCCTTCGCAGTTGGGTAGCACGTCCAGACAATGCCATAGAGTCAGCAACTGAAGATTCTTGAACGACTTGAACTTCGGCAGAAACCACGGTCTCCAACAATAGGATATCCTCCGCGAGAGGTGCCACATTCTTTAGAAATCTCAGCGGCCGCTCGAGATGATACAATAAGCCAAAGCAGAACACAATATCCCACCGGCCGATTGGTATCCGCTTCTCCAAGTCCATTGAGAAAATGCTGACTGCATCTGGCGGAAAGAGCTTTCCCAATGCGATCTTTTTTCGAAGGTTCAGCACGTTGGTCATCCTGGGTTCCACAATGGTGACAGTACAGCCTCTGTCAGTGAAATAGTGCGTCAAATCCCCTTGTCGTGCACCAACCTCCAAAACTTTGCGGTTCCAAAGAGGCAGTGCCAAGCTGGTCAAGTGTTCCAGCCTACGAGCGGTCAACCGCTGATAGATTTGTTCGATGCCCAATGACGTGTACAGGCTAGCAGTAAGTAGTTCTGGATGATTGTCGTATTCTCGCAGGAATTTATCACAACACTGGTTCTTGGTGAAGTGAACCCCATCAAAACAGTCAGTTTGAGTTGGTTTCCTTCCACAACAAGCTCTTTCCGATGTGCAGCTCGAAGCATCACAATTCCAGCAATTCAGAAATATTCCATGTGTCGCGCCCAACCAGCCGCGGATGTGCAAAGATCTATTTGCATTTCCCATGTATACTGATCCTCTTGGAAATCGTATTGTTCCTTGAAAATAGTCGAAGTACCGCAACGACTGCAGAACGGCAGATTGGTGCGGCGGCAACTCCAGCGAAGTCACAATGTCTTCAGGGGCCTGGGATGAGATTGACAAGAGCTCTAAAACCATCTTCACATTCTTCCCTTCGGCTTGACGACCATGCTGGAACTTAAAACCTCCGTCATCTGGAACCTGGTGGCTGGTAAGTCAAGGGCCACCTTGCCCTTCTCGTAAGGTGTGCATGTATATTATGTGTATATATGTATAAAGACTTAAATTCGCAGCATCGGTTCCCTTTTGCTAAGCAAGGCCGATTTAGTCGGAAATACATGCAAGTATATGCAAGTGAACCAACTCAAGTTCAGCAAAAAAAACGTCTCTCTCACTGTCCCCTGAAGAACGGCGGCCAAACCACGCCGTCAACAGCCCAGGGACCGAAAAACTCGAGGTACCCCTAATTCTTCCGCCAAACCGTCAGAATCAAGGCCTCATACCCCGAGAAACTTGAGGCCGAGGGTAGGTGACGAAAGCTAGCAGGGGTGCATCCGGACTGGTGGGACATCAAGCGGAGTGAGGCAAATGTTCATGAGGTAAAACGTTGTGAACATGTAAGACACACAAACAGCAATGACACAGCCAACCTTAGAATTGAAGTCCCCGATAATTAAGGAAGCGTGGCTGGACTTTGCCACACTGTTCGATGCATCCGATGTGTTCACGAACCTGTGAGCTCGTTGAATCTGTTGCACCGTATCCCAAAACCTCCACGGAGGAGTTGAACCAGTGTGGATGCCATAAGAGGTGCCCAAGAGGTGTCCCAGAGGCAAAACAAAGCTGCTTGCAAGATTTGTTTGGTTTCTTCTATCGATGTCGATGTCATGAACATGTGAGCTTGTTGAATCTGTTGCACCGTATCCCGGAGGAGTTAAGCCAAAGTGGATGCCATAAGAGATGCCCGAGAGGTGTCCCAGAGGCGTCTGAGGGGGGAGTTGAACCCACGGGGGGGAGGGGGTGAAAGAGTGACTAGGGCGTACACGGTTGAGGTGCAGACCGCTGGTGTCTTCTATGCGCAGAGTCTTATCCTCTTGAGCCTTATGGCAGTCAAGCATGGACACACTAGATAGGCCACTGGAGTGGAACCTGTACAAGTAGGCCTCTACATTTCAGCAGGCACAAAATTCATGTCCACTCCTGCCTATTGCGTATGTCGCACACTATTTTTCTACCGCAAGGCTAAAGCAGTCCAGCAAGCTCTAGTAAGCTTAAAAGGAAACCACGGTGCCCTGTACTTACCAATTCCAGTGTATTGCACACTTTAGAAAAGGTAATCTCTAGGTATACTAAATACAGTGAGGGAGCAATAGCTGACTCACCTCAAATACAAAGTCAAAGACAATGTATCTCGGCTGGAGACTGTATCGTTCACCGGCGAAGATACCATGTACCGGCGCTCAATAGCCCTTAAATAGCCAGAGCTGTTAAGAAACTATAAATTCAAGGAAAGCGGCTTTCTTGCACACAAACCTGTAAAAGCAGTAAACGACACTCGCGTAACGAAGAACTAAAATTTTCAAGACCGCACAAAATGCAATGAATTAAGATGCCTTGCAAAATGCAAGGAGCGTCAACTCTCGGTCTGAGGAGTGGTCTTCTCGAAAAGTGGTCTCGGCCGCTTCCATACACAGGACTTACACAAAATTAAAAATGCATCAAAAGGACTCTTTCTCATTGACATCAAAAACAAAAAGGAAGGAGACACCGGCAAATGTATGTACAAAACTTGTACTACAATTGCAACTCATAAAATGACTTAATCATCAACCATGAATGGTTGTCCATTAGAGGTCGCTTCAAAAGAGCGGTTGTGGTAGTTATCATCAGTTCTGAAAAACTGTCCATACCTACCTGCAGATAATAAACGTTTAGGAAACTGTATTTATCTGCATGCTAAAGCGTATAAACCTGGAATGCAGGAGTATCTTCTTTGACAAAAAGTTTCTCCTTGTGGCAAACCAGGATTCATTAAACTTCAGCCTGGCAACTTAAAGTCAAGCCTGGAAGTAAAGTATCAACTGTGATCAGAAGTATCTTCACTTCCTAGCTCTCATTAAAAGTTAGCATCCGCTCTGAGTTTTATGCCGCTGCAGTCGATGGAGCTGCTTGATCAGAAGTTGGCGGCCTTCCTTTCCTTTTATTCTCTTTCTGTCTCTCCTTCCTCCGTAAGTTAGCATCTCGAAGAGTCTCGCCCGAGCGATAAAGTCTTCTGTCTCCAGATGAAAATGAAGCTGGTCTGAGTGAAATAAACATTGGACCATGACTGTCATCGTCAGAGGGTCTGGAGCACATAACCTCCGTGTCAACCAGAGCAAAGTTCTCTGAAAAATTACAGATGAACTCCTTCGTGCTCACTGTGGAATTTGTATATTCCTCTTCACTCATTGAATGACCCCATTCAACAATGGTAGACAAACAAGTATCGCCAAGCTTTGATCCCTGGTATATTTCTTTGTCTTCTGTAGAGTATTCCTCCCAGAGTTTCTCAAAGTAAGCTTCACACTGCTTGAGGACATGTGAAGATGAACTGTAAAATGTTCTGGGAATAGGCGCTTTGATACCAGGATCTGCTTTTACACGGGCTTCTGAAAACCTGCGGATCCAATGCTGCATGGTGCTGTAATAATAGTTAGCCATTGGCTGCCTTTTGTATCCAGACATTCTGTAGGCCAAACTATTCGCATCACCAGAAATGATGTCCACCTCATATACAAAACATTCATAAAGCATCAACGCTGTCTGTTCTCCTGTCAATAGGTGGGCATCTACAGCACGGTGTGTGTCAACATGATAATTACAGACTCTGATAGTATGCATGTTCGCTCGAGTAAGTGGAACACGCTGGTCCTTAGGACCATAGTCCTCAAATTCATAGTCTGCATCCTTGAAGTCCTGACGAGGCCTTGTTTCTCCAAAACAAATCTCATAGATAGCCCAAGTTACATCACGCTGTTGACAGTGACCAAGGTCTTGGCCATGTCCAGCAATGATCTTGATATAGCCATCTGGTGCCAATCTAGCCATCACTGCAAGATTCTCCCAATCATTGAAACAAACTGTCCAATTCTTTTGCTCAATGAATTCCTTGGCAGGAACAAGGAGATGAGCTTCCTGGAGAATCACGACATGCGCACATAAAAAGAAGAGCGTGTTGAAGAAAAGGTTGTTTTCAAATTGCTCATATTGAAGTGACATGGCACTCTGCTTGCGTGGCTTCATTGCACGATCAAGTCCTTGGAGAAACTTTGGTGTGGTGTATTTCTGACCACGAACCATGTTTCCATAGTTCCAGGGTAAAAATGTCAAGGACTCTGAGCTGGCCAATAGATTAGTTCCATATTGTTCTTCTATTCTTCCTTTGAGGAACCTTTGGCACAGCTCTTCATAGAAGGCGACATGGTCCCAACTGGGTCCCTTGGGACCATGTGATTCCAGTTCTCCTCTAAACTGTTCCTTTGTAACCTCCAAATCTGCTCGAGCTTGTTCTGCCCTTTCAAGGGCCCTTGGATCGACCTGATACTTGTCATCCAAATAAACGATGCGATCATCATTGATGAAAAATCTCTTCAGGTCATGCTCGCGGCTATCCTCATAACAATCAGGTGGAGGTACTAGACATGGATCGAACAAAGTCGTTCTCGTTGATCCTTGACTGATAGTGAGGATGGGAAAGCTCACCTTTTCTGAAACAAACATGGTTCAACAATCTCGCGTGAGTTTCCCTGAAGAATTGTTGATAAAAGCCAATACCTGGATCTCCTGTACACTCTCCAAGCAACCTCAAAGGTGAGGTATGCAACTCATAGGTATTGTCAGCATCCACAGGAT